ACAATGAAGTTCTTTCTGACCCTCTCTGTACTTCTCCGTCAACATTCTCAAAGCAATGATGGCAACTGTGTTGCACTTTCTCAGCATGAAACCACACTGCTGTTCAAAAAATTTCTCCTCTCTTCTAAGACTAGCTTCCACAACTCTCTCCCCAATCTTCTTCATGTGGCTCATCAACTTTTTTTTGCATTCATTCAACCTTTATTTATACATGTTAATCCCATTGACCCTCGGGGACTCATTTACAAGGGAGACCTGATTTGTTTAACAAAGAGTGATGACAACAGTGGATACCAACGACAACATAGACAGTCATAAAAGAGGCATACAAATTATTGTTTTTTAATATTACAACTTATTTCCCCTGTAGTTGTTACAACTCTGTACATCTCTCTTATTCTTAAAAATGGGCACTAGCACACTTCTTCTCCATTCCTCAGGCATTTTCTCACCCTCAAATATGCCACTGAATATTTCAGTCAACAACCTCACTACCATCTCTCCAAGACATTTCCAAACCTCCACTGGTATGTCATCAGGTCCTACTGCTTTCACCTTCTTCATTTTTTTCAGAGTTTTCTGAACTTCACCCTCACTAATCTTTCCCACTTTCTGGACCACGGCTTCTATGACCAACAAAGTCCATGCTCAATAATTCAGGTATACAATCCAACATTTTTCAGTCAGGTCTTCTGGACAGTTTCTTTTTTTTTTTTTTTGTGCTGAAATGTTTTACCTTCTATCCAGAAGGCTTCATCAGTCAAGGAAACACACAACACAAAACTGATGCTTCCCCCAACAATAGCTTACTCCAAAGTGGAACAAACCAGTTATGTTGGTGCTACGATGGTCTCTTTGGCATGCCCCCTCCTCTGGTGCCGGCCCTCTCCCTCGGCGACCTGTACTCTTCTTTCTCTTTAATTCTCTTCATTCATTAGCTCCTTAAAATGCTCCTTCCATTTTCCTGTCATGGTTTTCTCACTTGTTAAATTATTACCATTCATATCTTTCAAAAGCCTAACGTTGCACATCCTTTCCAGCCTGATCCCTCTGTCTCACCTATTGGTACATGTCTTTCTCACCCTCTTTAATGTCCAGCTTCTCATACAACTCATTATACTTTGCATTAGCTAGCTCCCTCTTTGCTCTATGTTGCATCATCTTGTATTCCTTTTTCCTCTTTTCAGTTCTCTCACTGTCATATAACTTCTTGGCTATTCTCTTTATTTTCTGCACTTCAGTGATCCACTAGCAATTTCCTTATCACCTTTTCTCTGTCCAGATGACACACCAAATTCCTTCCTACCTGTCTCTCTAATTACTGTTGCTGTAGTAGCCCAGTCATCTGGAACCTATTTTCTACCACCCAGAACCTTTAACAGTTACTGTGTGTACTCCTCACACCATTCTTCTTTTCTCTGCTTCCATATTTGGTTTTCTTCTCTGATTTTACTCGTTTTCTATTCTTCACAACAACCGTCATTCTACACACAACCATCCAATGCTATCTGGCCACACTCTAGAGCTGTCATTTCTAACCCGAAACCGAAACCCGGCCCGGACCGACTCAAATTAGGGCCGGGCCATTATAATGTGATTAATGGGCGGGCCAGTCTCGGGCTTTTAATTAGGTCAGGATCAGCCGCGATCCAATTATATGACAACATGGCCTGCCATACTTCTACCCGCTGTACGCAGCCATTTCACCATGAGCTGACTGGCCTTGAAAGAGGTTAAAATTTCAGTTAAGCTTCAGATGGGACTGTACTGCCAGGAAGTGATTCATCGCCCAAATGGACGTTCATTCTGCCGCTGCACTCAGCGGACGCGCACAGCCGACAACCCAAACAGGTGAGATCCCAAAGCAGACACGTGTGTCAGAGTTGTCCTCGTTTCTCAGTAATTCAGAAGAATGCAGGCAGAAACAGGGTTTAATGCTTTTTTACGGCCATAAAAGTACAAACACCTCTCAGCTCTGAATCTTATGCCTCTTTTATTCAGCTGCGCGTCCCCGACCGTTAATAGCTAATTAAAAATGTTGTGTTTTTTTTACTCCAGGTTTGGACCTGTAATTACTGTTAATTTGCCGGGTCGGGCGGGGTTTGGGAATTGTGACTATCGGCTGGGACCGGGTCAGATCCTATTTTTTGGGCCCGAATGCAACTCTACCACACACTCCCCTGCTTCAATCTTACTGTCCCCAATCTTCATCAGGTTTCCTCTTCTTCACACAATGTATCATAATTGCCTGGTTACAGAACGTACCTGACTCATGCATACTAACTTTAAGATAAAACATAATTTTATACATGAACAAGATGCTCTGGTTATTAAGCCACGGGTATCAACCGTTCATTATCAGAATCTGTGCCCAGCTCTGGGCAGTACAAGATTCAGCCACCAGATGGCGTTGCATAGACTATGACTTGATGAGCATATGTCTTCATGATGCTTTGCTGTCTGACTCATGGTTAAAACCATTCAACTTACAAAATGAACACAAAATCCATCTAAGCATAATCACTGGACAGAACATTGCCAAACACTTGCGTAACCAAAATTATTTAAAAATTCTATACTGGTTAATTTTACCCACATCTTATTGAGGTCATGTGACTGGGAGTCACATAGTAATGGTAAAATACGGTAAATATTCATTAAATTAGTACCATTGATTTTTATTGTTAAACGCTTTTGGTAACAGCTGTTGTTTTAAAATGTACTTTCTAAATAAAATGAGATACTGGTATTTAAACAGATATTTAGCGTACACAGGAAGATGTCATACAGAAAGAATTTTAAAACTTTTATTAAAATATGTACCAGACTTGAACTGCTTTAAAAATATTTTGTGATGACTTATGCTCAGCGGAGCTATGTGATCAGGAGGAAAGGAATATCCGTTTTTTTGGGGTTTTTTTTCTGAAAAATGCCTTTAAAACAGCTAAAGAAAAGTAATGGTAGTCATCCAAAAGTCACTCATAGCTATGTTCTTCGTCCTCCTGTGAACTAAAGTCCTCTTTGAGGCTCAGAAAAACATCATCACACAGTGCCTCTGTCTCACTCTCGGCAGCTGTTTCCTTCTTCGACAGCCAGATCAATCACTTTTAACTAATTTGCATCATAAGAAATTCTCGTGCATTTTACATTATCGCTGAACAAATGAACAGGTCTGTACTTGAGACGCAAAATACGGTAACAATCTGAAAAAATCAATGCACATTTATCTTGGGGATGGGTCTTCGAGAGTATACCTCATTGGTCATCACTGTTAGACTTATGGTCACATGATTACAGAGTGGGTGGAGTTATAGTAGGGAATTTGAAACCCTGAGCGAGAGTCTTTGTACATGAGATTACCTGAGGCATTCACTCTGTGGGTCACAAAAGCCTGCCCTCAAGAGGGGAGGGTTTTGGTCAGCTATATGAGTGCCCAGCTCTGTCAAAGGAAAATGTTATATTATGAAAAATACACAAATTAGCTGTTCCTCCATACAAACCATGGGGTACAAAGCATGAAAAAAGTAGCAGCTTGTACACTGGTAATTACAGTAGTTCACCTGTGTACTCCTTCCTCCACTCTTATAGGTCACTCTATGTTCCTCCCTCTTTAGGAAATATGTGTTGCTAACAGCCATTTCTATTCTCTTGGCAAAATCTACTGCCATCTTCCTGGTTTCTTTCCTTGACACCAAACCTGCCCATCACTTCCTTATCCCCTCTGTTTCATTCCCCAACGTCCATTCAGGTCTGCTCCGATCACCATTCTCTCCTCTCTGGGAATACTCTGTATCACTTCATCCAGACCCTTCCAAAGTGTCTCTTTTTCCTCTCTTGCTCACATTCAACCTGTGGAGTATAACCACTGAAAACATTTAGCATTAGATTTTCTATGTCTACCATCAGACACATCACCCTATCTGACACTCTTTTCACCTCTACTACATTCTTTGCCAACTTCTCCTTCTGCTTCACCCCTACTCCATTTGAACATCTGACCGCTGGCCTGTCACTCTTTCAGGGATGAAGATGTTCACATCCTGGACAGAGAGGAACGATGGTTTGAGAAAGGAGTAAAGGAGGCCATCTTTGTGAAAAGAAACCGTCCATCATTAAACAGGGGTGGAGGCCTCCGGGTTCAACTGTCCCCCTCTTACAATGCTGTGATTGCTAGTATCACTCAGCCCTCTGTGAACAGTAAACAGCCATCAGTGTGCTAATGATCCATTGTTATGCTGATGGTCCTTCTTGAGCATGTGATCAGCTGGTTTTGGTTGTCAGCAGCAAAACTGGTTGATCCACCCTGAGATGGTGCTATTTAAGAGACTGAGCTGAATACAGCTCCTCAGACTGAGGAAGTCTCTCGGATGAGAGACGAAACGTTTCTACATTTTTTGTTGATTTGCTTTGTTTTTGTTTTTTTTTGAATGTCCAGAGGACCAGATTTAACTTTTTTAGATTTTTCTACCTGGATTATTGAGCATGCATCAGAAACTCACATATTAGTTTTGGCAAAAGCATTTTACCTCAGATGCCCTTCCTGACACAACCCTCACCATTTGCCCAGGCTTGAGACTGGTACAAGAGATGCACTGACTTGTGTTCCCTAGTGGCTTTTGTTTACCCTATGATAGTTGAAAAGTACAGTTCATATTTAGAGTATATATAATTTTCTCTATATTTGTACATTTGCATTTTTTGAGCAGTTTTACCCAAAATATACTGCAAGGGGAACAAAAACAAAATACAGATAAAAATACTATATTAAAATTTATACCAAGGCTTTATTTGCCAAATTATTGGAGTTTTGCAAATCATTACATGTAGGAGAAGTCCTATTTGTAATTGCCTTGGCTTGAAGTGAAACTGTCTCGAGTTGTTGCCATGTTCCTGTATGTGATGTGCCTGAATGCATTGCAGCCAATAACATCATACTGTAAGTGCTATCTGAAATAGCAGGATAGATGTTGTGTGTTTGAGGTGTGAATTTTCTCCTGCAGTGATTCTGTGTCCAGTGTTGGCTCTGTGGGGACAGAGGATGTTGGAGAGGGCATGCGTAACTGGTCAAGAGCACCAAGAGGAGGGTCGCGTATTGCTGGATCTTCTTACAGCAGCCAAGATGGCCGCCAGTCTGTCACTGATACAGTTAGCACCTACAGCTTCCGGTGAGTCTGATGATACACATTCATCCACATTTATACAACTGCTGGCAAAAGTGAAGAACCGCCACTATTAAAAAAAAGGTTCTTTCAGTTTTATTTTGAGAATATATTGTAAATATGAGACGATTCTTTTTAGATTACTTTGACAGTTAGACATTTAAACTTTGTAAGGGTAATAAAAATACTTTTATATCAAGTAGAAAAAAATGGAAATCTAAAAACTTGAATCTCAGTTATTTTAAAGTACTGTACTAACTGGGATTCAAATTTTTAGATTTCTGTTCTTGTTCTTTTAAATTTCTTTTAACGTAAGCATAGATTGTCATTTGAAGTGTGATTTGATGGGAAGATTAAGAGCTGTATCTTACCTCTGGTAGAGGACCTGAGTTTTAAGTAAACAGTTCACACTGCCCAATAGCATCCAGATTAGACTCCAAAAATTTAAACATGCTTGACTTACTGCAATTGAGTTTGGGTTGGGTCTTTAACCCTCACACAGTTATTCCACCTATCAAGTGTTCCACTGGTGCAGACTCTTGCAGACTTTGCCCAGCTGGGAACTGTGTGTAAATATCTGGCAAAAAAAACAAAAAAAACTGGGTAGTGTGTTTTAGGTTTAAGGACAGAGACAATCAAATCTCTTATCTTTCAAACGGAAGACAACCATCCTATCACTGGACTAAAGCCAAGCATCCATCCATCCATCCATTATCTTTACCCGCTTATTCCACTTTGGGTCACGGGGGTCGCTGGTGCCCATGTCCAGCAATCACTGTGCGAGGGGCGGGGTACACCCTGGACCGGTCGCAAGTCCATCACAGGGCCACATAGAGACAAATGAGACAAACAAACATTCACTCTCTCACTCACACCTAGGGACAATTTAGAGTTACCAATCAACCTAACATGCATGTTTTTGGTCTGTGGGAGGAAACCGGAGTACCCGGAGAAAACCCACGCATGCACGGAGAGAACATGCAAACTCCACCCCGAAAGGCCCCTGGACCGGGGTTTGAACCAAGGACCTGCTCGCTGAGAGGCAGCAGCTCTACCAGTTGCGCCACCGTGCTGCCTAAAGCCAAGCAACATGCCAAAATCAAAGTTCCAGCACTATCTCCTTGTTCAACACAAACTTGAAGTTGAATACTGTATAACTTTGTCCATTTGACTTTTTCTTTTTAGTCCACTAGAACCTTGTTTAAATATTAAGTTAATTTAACCATTGTTTAAGTTAGTCTTTTCTTGATGACAATTCATTTTACTTTTGCTAACTTCTTGCAAACACTGGCTACCATTTATTACTATTTTTTGTTTTTAATTTATTTTCTGTATTTCTTTAAACCTAAAAGTAATTTTTTCAGTTTTTTGTCCTGGTCCTTTATCTTTATCAGTTTACCTGCTTCTTTTTCACAACCTTCCTGTGTCAAATTATCTCCTCTGCGATGTTTTAGAAATGTTAAAATATAAAATTGTTTAACTTTTTCCCCAGTATTGAGCTAAATGCAACAATGAATTTATTTGCAATATTTTGGTTAGTTGGTGGAAGAATATTAATTATACGTTTTCCAAAAGTAGCATTTTTGCTAGGGGTTTGAGTGGATGTACAACAATTATTAAAGAGAGAATTTCCTGATTACAATTTTGCAAAAATCTGCTGTTGACTTCAGTTCATTGTTTCTGTTACTCATCTACAGTTCTTGTGTGGATCTGGATGATGAGGGTTCTGAGGCCAAAGGAGTTGGTGCCAGACGTATAGGTCAAGCCCCATCTTCCTCAGCACTGTCTGAGCTGTTAGATGGACTACGTAAACGTAGAGCTGGCAGTGATGCAGGAGAGAGAGTTGGCAGCACCGTGTCTCTGCCAATTTATCAAACAACAGGAGCCTCAAATCTCAGACGGAGAGCCTCGGCCCTCTCACTTAGTCCTGAAGATATCCAGGAGCCCCGACCAGGTCCGAGCATTCTGAAACCATTGTCCCCTCTTCTGCCCCGTGCTGCCAGTGCTCGCTCTATCACCGACTCTCAAGTGTCTGCAGCTGGAACCAAGCTCTCTCGCTTCAACTCAAGTGATTTTCAGACCTCTCTTCCACCACTGCCACACCTCTCCTCCTTGTCATCCACTGTTGCTGCTCGGCATCATCCACCTTCCCTGTCAATCCCAGAGGAAGACCTCAATGAATCTTCATTGAGAACTCCCATCCAGCAATCCCGACAAACACCGCAACGGTGCATGCTGGGTAATCTTACAGCAGCAGGTGGAAGTGAAGGCCTGCTGGTTTCAGAACCACTGGTCTTCCAAAACCGCTGTCTAGCTGGTGACCGTTCTGACGCAGCCTCTGACATCCTGCCTGCAATTCGAAGAGCACAGTCCACCAGCAGCCTGGCCAATTCAGTCAGAGGAGGCCGAAGAGCATTGAGTGTCCATTTTGGAGAATTGCCTCCTTCAATCCGCAGCAGGAAAGCCTCTGAAACTGAATCCTCCAGCTCAGGTGGATCAGGCGGAAGTTACCAGGGCAGTGGGCCAAAACGCAGGTTTGAGAGGCCACAGGGGGAGAGACTGGAAGCAGAGGGCAGTGAGGGGGGAGATGTGGCTTCAGTCATGAAGAAATACCTGAAAAAGGAGAGTGACTGAAAATAAGGTGAGCTGTTTTGATTCAGGATGATAAGCCAAATTATTTACTGTTGATAATTTCAACCATAATGAAAAATAACACAAGTCATACCTTACGCACTTAACTAACTGTACAAACAGTTCTGCAGTTACTTAATGTTTATTCACCGTAATGATGTTTTTAGATTACAAGGTTACACGTCTAACATACATTGACATATTTCAAGTGGCTATAAAGCTCTTGAAAATTTAGGTCTTCTAATTCAGTATTAAGAAGCTCTTTAACAGCATTTGCATAGATTTGTACATGATTGCTGCTTTGGCAATCATGCAAATGAGTTCAGAGGAAAGCTTTAAGAGGAGAATAATACTCTTTATGACGATCATTGTCTGGAAACATTGGCTTGAGTATTTTGGACTTGATGGCATACTGGCACCACAACAAAAAAGTCATCAGCCAAGATTCATTAACCACACCAAATAACATAAAACAGCATTTGCTCTCAAACCCTGCAGTGAGGAGGTGTAACATGATGCAGAATTAGTTAAAGTAGTATTTTTCAGACCCAGTTCAATGAACAGTTGGTTAGAAAGATTCTCAGTTGGTAGATAGGAGTAAATGCATGTTCAGACTTGTACTGTATCTGAAGCTGAACTTCACATAACACCTCTCTCTCACACATCATCCTCTGAGTTCTGACCAGCCAGTATCTTTTTCTTTTATCTCCCATCAGGCTCTTTATGTGTCCACATCCAGCTGGGAGCTTCAAAGATGCTGCAGATTGCAGAACATCATTGGAAATACAAAGTTTGTTTTCTCAGTCATCCAGGTATATAACAACAAAAAAGGTTGAATCGTGTCATCTGGACTTCGTTTTTTTTGTTAAAAAGAAACGTTTCGCCCCTCGTCCAAGAGGCTTTGGAAATTGGAAATACTTCAGAAGTTAAAGCAAACTCCTCACATCAATATTAAAATCACTTAAAATACTTTTGTTTTTCAATAAGTAATGTTTATATATGAATAAAACTATATAAAAAATGAAATGAAAGAGTCTTGTTCATGTCCTGAATTTTTGCTTTTGATCATTTTTGAATGTTTACATTGCTGCACTTTCTGGTCAAGAATTCGTAGTTCTGTCTATAGGACTTTGCAGATGCTGTGAAATTCCAACCCATTATGGTGTAGAACACTTTCAGTCATGTTTCTTATAAAATACCTACATTCAGATCATTAACAAGCTCCTCATGTGAAGTTACAAGCTGATCCCTCACCTTTTCCATGATCATTTCCATTCTTTAAGTTATTTCTTCTTCTTCATTCTTCTTTACTCTGACACAGACACTGACATCAGGAGCATCTGTAAACTGAATGAAAGGCTCACAACCATCCATCCATCCATCCATCCAATATCTTTACCTGATTCTTACTTTTTGGGTCGCGGGGTTCGCCAGTGCCCATGTCCATCAATCACTGTGCGAGGGGGGGGGGGGGGGGGACCCCCTGGACAGGTCTCCAGTCCATCACGGCCACAGAGACAAATGAGACGAACAATCATTCACTCTCTCACTCACACCTAGGGACAATTTAGAGTTACTAATCAGCCTAACATGCATGTTTTTGGTCTGTGAGAGGAAACCGGAGTACCCAGAGAAAACCCACACATGCACTGAGAGAACATGCAAACTCCACCTAGAAAATGTCCTGATGCATGCTCAATAGTCCAGGTAGAAAAATCTAAAAAAGTTAAATCTGGTCCTCTGGACATTCAACCCCCCCCCCCCCCCCCCCCCCCCCCAAAAAAAAAAAAAAAAAAATTGTGGAAACGTTTCGTCTTTCATCCAAAAGACTTCCTCAGTCTGAGGTGCTGTATTCAGCTCAGTCTTATAAATAGCACCCTCTCGCAGTGGATCAACCAGAAAGGCCCCCTGACCAGGATTTGAACCAGGATAGCCTGCTCGCTGAGAGGCAGCAGCTCTACCAGATGCGCCAATGTGCTGCCAGGCTCATAACCAATCTTTATTTTTATTTTTTTTGGCTGCTCCCTTCTTAAGGGGTAGCTACAGCAAGCTAACTCGTACAAAAATTTGGCAACTGTTTTTAAACCATACAACACAACCCACCACCAAGCTACCACAGCCCATATGTGCGGCGCAAAGGGCTGACATCTAGGGCACCTGGGGAGAGGGGGGGGGGAGTTAAGGGCCTTGCTCAAGGGCCCAGGGTAGGGCAAATGAGAGTGGAGGCAGGTGTTGGTGCCTCACCCACATTTTGATTGAACGCTAAGGGGATTCAAGCTGGCAACTTCCCATTCACAGGCTTGCCTTCTTTAACCTATGTGCCAGCACCCTGACTCATAACCAATATGTTGGAACCAAATTAATTTTGTTGTGTGGGATCAAATACTTTCTTCAATGATTTACAAATCATATTGTACTTCCCTGCAAACTTCCATGGCAGTTTTTATGGCGATTTCAGGTCAGTCCGTCTTGGTCCTTTATCAGCCCAGAAAAAAGGTATGTGTTGTGCTTGTTTCTTTGTTTGTTTTTTACCCAAAAGACAACTCCAATTTTATATAAAAAAAAATATAGATGTTGATAGATGGGTTTTATTTAGCCTATTTAATGTTTTCCAAAATTGACATCTTTTCACCTTTGACCTTTGATTGATCTTTTGAACCAAAATCAAACACTCAGTGTTACTGTCTTTTCTGTTCTGCTTATATGACATCTTTTTATCTTTTACATTTACATAAAAATTCCATACCATTTAGATTGGAATCAAGTCATATTTTACAGTGCTAATTGTTACACCACCATGAATCCCATCCCTGACCTTTGAAAAACAATTCTGCTCTCTGAGTTCCCGTTGAGCATAAGCAGAGTGATGTGAGACATTTGGAAGCTGAAAACTCTCCCAGGAGATGAGAACACTAAAGTAGGAAGGGATAATATCTCCAGGCAGAATAGTGGAGTGGAGCTGACATTTTACTGGTGCATGATCAAAATAAAGGATGTCCATGAGATGCAGACAAAATACCTCTTCTTTTTCTTCTTTCGGCTTTTCCTTCTTCAAGGGTCACCACAGCGAGTCATCCTCTTCCATTTCACTCTGTCCTCTGCACCCTCTGTCTTCACTTCAACTACCTCCATGTCCTCTCTAACTGCATCCATATATCTCCTTTTTGTCTTTTTTTTGGCAGCTGCATTTCTAACATCCTTCTACCAACATACCTACGATCCCTCCTCTGGACGTGCCCAAACTATCTCGGTTTGCCCTCTCTAATTTTATCTCCCGGTTGTTCCACCTGTGCTGTACCTCTGATGATGTCATTCCTAATCTTACCCATCCTTGTCACTCCTAAGGAGAACCTCAGCATCTTCATTTCTGCCACTTCCAGTTCTTTTTAGTCTTTTTTTTTTTTGTCCATGTCTCTGTCTCCAGACCATACAACATAGCTGGTCTCGCCACTGTCTTGTAAACTTTTCCTTTGACCTTTGCTGACACCCTTTTGTCACAAATCACTCCTGAAACTTTTCTCCATCCACTCCATCCTGCCTGGACTCTCTTTTTCACCTTTTTACCACATTCCCAATTTTCCTGGACAGTGGACCCCAAGTATTTGAAGTCCTGTAACTTTGTGACCTTTTCTCTTTGTAGCCTCACTGTTTCATTGGCATTCCTCTCATTCACACAAATGTCCTATCTTACTATGGTTGACTTTCATTCCTCTTCTTTCAAGTGCATACCTCTACCTTTCCAAGTTCTCTTCCACCTGTTCCCTGTTCTCACCACAGATTACTATGTCATCTGCAAACATCGTAGACCATGGGAATTCCTGACTGACCTCATCTGTTAGTCAGTCTATCTCCAGAGCAAACAAGAAGGGGCTCAGAGCCGATCCTTGATACAATCCCACATCCACCTTGAAGCTATATGTCACGCCTACAGCACATCTCACCACTGTCCTGCTGTCCTCATACATGACCTGTACCAGTCTAATATACTTCTCTGCCACTCCAGATTTCCTCATGCAATACCACACCTACTCCCTCAGCACCCTGTCATATGCTTTTTCTAAATCCACAAAGACACAATGGAGTTCTTTCTTACCCTTTCTGTACTTCTCCATCAGCATCCTAAAATCAAAGATAGCATCTGTGGTACACTTTCTTGGCATGAAACCATACTGCTGATCACAAATAGTCACCTCTCGTCTAAGTCTAGCTTCCACAAATCTCTCCCAGATCTTCATTGTTTGACTCATCAACTTAATTCTCTTGTAGATTCAACAACACTGTACATCACCCTTGTTCCAAAAAAGTTCAATCTGGTCCTCTGGACATTCAAAAAAACAAAAAACAAAACAAAACAAAAAATATAGAAACGTTTCGTCTCTCATCCAAGAGACTTCCTCAGTCTGAGGTGCTGTTTTCAGCTCAGTCTCTTAAATAGCACCTTCTCAGAGTGGATCAACCAGTTTGCTGCTGACAACCAAAACCAGCTGATCACATGCTCAAGAAGGACTATCAGCCTAACAATGGATCATTAGCACACTGATGGCTGCTTACTATTCACAGAGGGCTGAGTGATACTAGCAATCACAGCATTGTAAGAGGGGACAGTTGAACCCGGAGGCCTCCACCCCTGTTTAATGATGGACG